AGTACTAAATTAATTGTCTACAAAAGGTTTTCATTTTTTAAATGAATTAAGAGATAGCATGGCTGTATCCTGTAAACACTCTCCACGTTGTTATAAAATACAATTTAAAAATACCACCGCCACAGCAAACCTGCTGACTAAGCGAATTTCCATTTGTCTAAATTGATTTTCAATTAAATCTATCTAAATAAGATTAGGTTTAACGATTACCTAGGTTTGCTGCTACAAAGAAACTTATAAAGTGAGTTTTTCTGGTAAAATATTAATAGCTTAGCTTAGTATAAAATAAATAAATTGGCCAAGTTTGATCCAAAATATAAACAATAAAACAATAAATAAATATAATCAAGCAAACTACTGATCATCATTTTACAACATTCTCCATAAAAATAACATGGGAATTTTAAATTTACAATTCTTTAAATTTTCTTCGTTGCCAATAACCTTACAAAAAACACTTTGATATACTAAATTATTTGGTTTTTTAAGGTCTTTAAAAAGGTCTAGAGAGAAATTGGTAAATTTTGTGTTTTGAGGGTCAAAAATGAGAGAACTCATTTTTTACCCATAAAAGCCCCCGTAAAACCCTTTTCCCAAGGTCCGATCATGCTGGTACGCGAACTCATTCCACCTTACACCTTCAAAACAAATTCCATCATCATCGGACAAAAATTACTCAAGTTATTGCGTTCACGGACGTATATATACAAATATACATAACAATTTGAACGAATGGTGATTTTGGCCTCTGGGGACATCAAAATGAGAGTTAGGTCCCGGTTCTAGGTCTTACCGTGCCACCTACGGTAATAGCTACTTCATACATCCCGAAGGGAAATTCATTAAAATGTCCAATGTTCAAAGAGGTTCCTTGGGAAAACTATAACTAAACTATTCTTATCAGCTAAACGCTCCTGAAAAGCGACTGTGAAAAGAATGCAATGAATACCCAGGCTACTGTGAACGAGGTTGAATAGTGAACAACCCCCATTCAAAAAAGACCCGAGAAAACTTTTCCAATCTCTGCAATATTTATTAGTCGAGTTTGGTGAAGATAAAACTGTTTACAACTCGATTTAGACAATTGATTAAGAACCAGCGGAAACAACAGAGGGTTATAAAAACTTCTAAATTAGAAACAAAGATTAAGTAGCTTAAGCGAAGAGGAGACTTGAGAACTCGTTTGTTGACTCTGAGTAATTATTTCACTTGCCACCGAGCTCTATAATATTATAAATTGTAATTGATCTTAAGTGGTACGAGGAGTATTTTTAAACCACAACTTTTGTTTCGTGGTGAATACTATTTATTGGTGACCTGAACTTGTCACTTACCAATCATCATGTAAATCACAACACTTCGTTTAATGATTTTTTTCTGAATTTTAAAGATGGACTTTCAAAATTGTAAGGGGTATACAATTCAGCTAAAACAACTCCAAGCCTCAACTCAACCCTCCAGCTCCACTCCACAACAAGATACAAATTATTACAACAAACTACTATTATGGTATTCTGGCACTTTTCTAACTTGGCAATTCTGGTGTCTTGGTGCATTGTTTTTGTTGTTGTATTTTAGTGTTCAAGAGTCTCTCTAAGTAGTAATTCAAATTGTGCCATTGGCTTTAGATAATGAAGTAACGAAAACCTATACACAGTTAACAATAATTAGAGTACAACAATAAATCAATTCATTTTAATAGGACATTTTGTGGTTCTGTGTGTTAGACGCACAAAGTTACTTTTATTGGGTGCATTGGTAAATGGTACTATCCCATTTATATGGACTAGCTGCAACAAATTCAAACTAGAAGAAAGCCAAATTGAAATAGCTTAAAATATTTTTAGACCGACAATATTGATAATTATAATATGGGAATGGAATAGGAAAGATAGGACACGGAACGCCATGGCAACATTTCAGGCTTCTGAGACTCTGATTTTGGGTGCGAGGTGACATTGTTATGTATGTAGTATTAATATTTGTATGTAGTAAATTAATGTTTTAAATTTTGAGAATATACCTCTATCTATGGGTTATAGTTTTTTTTTATTTTTTTATTTTTTATTATTATTATATGTAGCTGCGCTTATTTCTAAGGGATTATCTTTGATAGCTTAATCTGTGAAACGGTTTTAAAGATGATGTTATCGTTATTGCTTACGGTTTTTTCAAAGTTATAAATGAAGCTAACGTAGGTTTGCGATTAGCATAGAAAGTATTATTTTGTGTGAGGTATTATAGTAGTATTTTGAATAATACAATACATTAGTCTCATTGTTTAATTCATAATCATCTATAGAGCAGAGCATTACACTTAATTTCTTGTTTAATGCTGAGTGAAGTGAATTTTCACAATACTAATGTAAAGATATTAGGAGAAAGAATAAAATACTAATCACCCCACTAAGGCCCCGGCCACACGGGGCGGTTTAACCGCGCGAAGTTAAGCCGCGCGAAGTTAAGGGCTTCGACAACACATTGAATCAAATGAGAGTGGCCACACGAGGCGAAGTTTAGCCGCATGTGCGGTTGAGCCGCAACATGTCGTCCCCCGACCGCGCGAAGTTAAGCCGCGTTGGAGGGGATGACACACGTAGTCTTATGAGAGTGGCCACACGATACGGTTCGACCGCGCGGCAGCCGCGCTTATTGGAGATATTCTTCGGACATTTCCAGTGGTTTTTGAGTTTGTTTTTTTGTATTTTTTACCGGTTGTGTGGTGTTTAAACAATGTTTGATACATAAGAACTCCGAACTATGGTTTCGAATGTGCTCGTGAAAGGTTTTGAACACAAAAAATTGTTTTTCCGTTATGAAGGGATGGACCAAATGATTTATGTTAACATTTGGTTCCAGATCACCACACGCTTCTAATGCACAAACTAACATAAGTGTTTCGTCCATGACTAAAAAGAGTGAACTGAACTTGTGTTAATAGAGTACTGATACTGGGAAAACCCAACAGGAAGCGGTTCATCCGCCCCGTGTGGCCAGGCACTTCGCGCGGCTTAACTTCGCGCGAAGATAAGCCGCGCGGCTTAAATTCGCCTCGTGTGGCCGGGGCCTAACTGTTACACAAAAGTGTAAATACTAAGCCTACGACTACAAAAAAGACACCGACTAATTTATTTTGTATAAAGAGAGAGTTCCTAAAACAAATTTCAAAAGTGGTGCAAAACATTTTTTTATTTTACTTAAAAAGTAGTAATGTATTGCATTAAGCGTGCAATTTACTTCATAAAATCAGATAAACACAGACGCTTTTGTAAGGTAAAAGAATAACAGGAAAAGTTTTAAATTGGTTCTTAAAATGATGTACGTTTCAAACAGTGAGCCAACTCGATTAGTATCAGTTTGCTTATTTCATAGGAGTGTAATGCTTTTTAACTTGACAACTTTTATTAGTTCTCCAATAGACCCAATGGTTCCCCAATAGACTGTCAAAATTAATATTCGAATCTAAATAACTGCTGAGTAGTAATGATTTTTCATTAGATTGAATGTTTGCAAATTCCTCTCAATACAAAAAATCAATCAAACATTTATTTACTATCTAAGAGTAGGGAATTACTACTTCCCTAGGAAAATTTTGTAAAAAACACAATTTTGTTTGTGCCATGAAACAATTTTGGTCGTCATCCAGTACTATACATACCAAATGCACTTCCTGCGATTTTCTTTTCGTCAATATTTAAATTTCATAAGCTTTAATACTTAATACTTATACTTTTCAATCAAATGGCGACCATACAAAGTAGGTATTTTAAGCCAAGTATGAATGGATGAATGAGTGTAGAATGAGTGGCGCGATCTTGTAGTCTTAGTGACTAATGCCGACATATTCCTTAGACACAGTAATAGCCCATACAGCTAATGACAACTAAGGGACCTACAGTTTATAGTGGAATCCGAACCACATTTTTCCTTGGTATATACAAATTGGTCTAATTATCAGGATAGCACTGCGGATAGTCGTAGTACTCACTCGTGCGGACGTTAATCCACACCAGGGAGTATTGCATCCACAGTGCATGCCTACAAATATCCACAATTCGTGACCTCCTAGTAGCTGGATTACAGGACGACGCCACCCGTCCCAGTCATACTACTACATATTCTAAATCCCCTATTTTAACCCTTCTTTTTCCACCCTCCATTCAAGCCATCCCAATTGTTTGTCCATTATCGCTCTTCTCTCACGACAACCTGGTGCGTGTGAACACTGTAAACTACAGTTGAATCAAAGAATAGTGATTCAAAAGTATAATCAGTCTACATTCAATAAACAGAAGATAAAAAAAAAATGTAAAAGGAACTCAGAAGGATATATAACAAGTGTGTGTTATAAACAAAATACATTTTTGAGAATAGATGTTAATTGTAAGAATATAGTGCGGAAAATGAGGATCTTTTAAGTTAAGTTTCTCCCTCCTACTTGACAAACATCTGTTAGCGTAGCTCAAGATCATTTGGATCTTTGTCGCAACTTTACTTATAAACTTCAAAACTGCAAATTCTTAGGCTAAACAGCCATTATCACCGTATTTTTCACTTTTAGTATACTTACCAACACACTATTACCACCACAAAGGTTTCATTCCCGAAGTAGGGAAATTATTTTAATCAAAACATTTTTTAATTGCGTTCACAAAGTTTTCTTCCGTTAACTTTTTGCAATAAAACAGCTTGTCAATATTTTAACACATGTTTTTAAATCTACATGTTTTTATTTACTTATTGTTTTTATTTTTACTAACTTAAACATCTAGTGCAACGGTATATTAGTTAGGCTATCGGTAAGCTATTCTGAATTTAATTAGTGATTTAAAATCTTACGCAATCCTCACAGATATTGTTTTTCGCCACAAAAAAGCCGGAAAAGAACACTCAACAAAAAACTCGCTGCTCATTGAAAAACGGTACCGGTTTTTAAAACCCGTGTGGCGGCCATCGTGGTGGCAAGGCCAATGTGTTGTTCAGTGCTTCAAATCAGCTGATCGTCCTATTATCACTCGGCGTGTCTCCTCAAGGTCACCGGGACAGTGTTGCCAACATCACGGAAGCAGCCTTGCCAACCTAACAGCAGACAGTGTTTACTCATCATGTTGGGAAGACTGTGGCAGCTGTTTTGTGAGTGGGTAGACATTCTGCAACGTTTTTTTACAGCATCCTGTTGTCCTGGATTGAACAGTTTTGACACAGAAGATGAAGAAGAGGAGGAAGAAAATCTTTTGGAAAGCCCAGTGGACGCGACGGAGAAGACTGACAAACAAGACTAAATAGTGAAGTGCGCTCAACGTTCGTTAGCTAGTGAAATTTTCAATCCTGTTAATACATTTTAAAACTATTTAAACGTGTTTTGCCGAAATTTAATATGAAATATTGTCCCCATGTTTTGCCGAAAATGAGTTACCAAATTGCTAAGTCATCTAGGAAGGAGGCCTCGATTGTTGGTATGCTAATGATTTATACTTACGTAGTTGCTTAGTCAAGTAGTGGTTTGGCTTAGTTCATTTGTTTACTAAAGTGTATCGTAAAAATAAAACTAAAAGTGTAAAATTTGTTGACACGACTACTGTTACTTCTCAGTTTTGCAAAATCCACGTTTATTTCCCTTTCTATTTGCTCAGAAACCTGTATACTATTTAATGAATATAATTTACTGTAGTGAAAATAAACTTTAAGTGCCCTGTCATAATCTATTTTAACCTAACTTTAGCACGGTATATAATCTGAGAAATATATTCTATATAGGTAAATATAGGCATATAGTCTGAATTTATTTTAGGCCGTTGAGATGTTTCTTTCCCTTGCCCAAAGTAGGCTAAATAATAATTATCGAATTATTTATTGTCATACGGTTATACAAAATTAACTTGAAGAAAAGACCTGTATAGGTAATATAGGTTATACAAATAAAACTAAGAGTTTAACTTGTTGAAAACATTAGAGAATTTCCAGGGTATTCTAAAATCGACCTTTTAGGTATCACCATTATAGGTAAAGAATTACTTTTTTTCGAAGCATAGCATATAGGTTCATATTTTGATTGATTTCATATGTTAACAATCCTTGAATGAGCACACAACTATGCGTTCAATGTACCTATGTACTAAAACTCATCAAAGATCTTGGGTTGACGATTTCGACCAATCATTATGTACTTGCTTCTTTTGACTTATATAAGAAATTAAATAATCTAACAAGCCTTGATAAGAAAATTTTTTAACTAGATTTCCTTGTTCTCATAAAAAACACAAGCATGGTAAAAACGGTTGTTGATAAATTAATAACACGTCATAAAATATATTTTGTGGTTTTTATGCTTCACTTGTAGCCTATACGCTAATGCATTTTTTTGGTAATTTAAATCTTCGATTGAAATGAAATGGCTAAAAAGTCTTTGGTGGTTTATTCATATGTCATAATGCATCACTGAATATTTATTTTATTTTATTTTTTTATTTACAAAATGGCGAAACACCATTTCAAAATGTTACAAATCTGATGACAACAGAAACAATATCCAATTTCACTGTGTAAGTTGTCTTACAAATTTGCATCATAATAATTTAACCACGAAAAATAACCATATGTAACGAAACATTTACCTAATTTCCCTTACCAATGTGACAAGTTTGATTGAATCCTAATATAATTTTAAGTGACATGCAATAAGGTCATTATTTAAATTTTAACAACGATTTAACAGGTTAATGATGATGTAGACTTCAACAAAAGTTAATAACAACCATAATAATATTCATATAATCTCATAAGAAAATAACAATCATTATCGACGAGAACATAATAATAACCTATAAATAACCTGACAACAAAATAATGACAGAACCATAACAATGACCATTAGTTGACAACGAATTACACTTACAACCTAATACCTATTTACTTTGGCTACTTAGTACTTAATACCACAGACAAGGGAAACAAAAGTTTCCCTTGGCTTTTTTATTGGCTCCTTTATTTCCTTAGTCAATTATAATACCTAGCTATTCTGTGTAACTTGTGGCTATGAGGAAAAGGTCAAAGCATGAGACTTTATGAATATATACCTGGTGGCATTTTAACAATATAACTATTAATACTTTACCACAAGACTAAGTTTTGTTTCGACATTTGGAATAGCATTAGGTATATAGGTATTTCTTTTTTATAAAGTTTATTTTTGACGATGGTGAGCTTATTTTATCCACGAGATTTATTGCAGACGTTTTCCATAACGATTAATTGAAATATTGTAAACGCCTTGTTTTTGTGGAACTTGCTTGTGCGTAGATGAAATGCATTACTTATCTAAACTTGTAGTAAACAAAGTAAACGATTACAGTATGCATAGCAAATGCTTAATCTAACGTCATTGCATGTTGTAGGCCTATTCAATCAAAGTAAATGTTGTTGTATCCAAAGTCAATGATTGTTGTTAGCTACTGCGAGAACACGTGAGAAGATGATTGCTGCAGTTTATAATCGGACATAAATGATTCCAACATTAATCACATCCTAATCGCTTGGTAATTCTCTGGGGGTTTCCAGCAGTCACTTTGAAGGCCTTTGACATGTATTTTTATATAATGATTACGTCCTCATCTCTCACACTGCTGGTTATGGTTAAAGCAAGAATATTCCTTGTACTAATAACATACCTCGTCACAGGACATTATTGGGGATTAACTAAACGTTATGTTTTTATACAACGTCAAAATATTCATGTCTGGCATTGCTATTTGCTACGTACTGTAGTGTATAACATATCCCACACAGCAAATATGCTGTCTAAATTGGTTGCTTGATTTTGAAACATAAACTCAACTAAAATGCAAGGTGATGAATTGAGTAAGATCATAGTGTCAGCCATGCTGCGGTTACCATAGGTTCTGGCGCACAACGCCATGAGCGGCATGTAGTTACGGCGTACGCGCTACGTAACTACACGGCGCGGCGCTCCCAGCGGTATGCGCCAGAACATATGGTAACCATGGTAACCGCAGCACGGCTGACAGTGTATTATTTAATTCTTTTTGTCCATGGTACGATGCACCGGCTAGCCTTGTTAATGTGCTAAAGATCAGCTGTTTCTTCAGCCAGAACCATTTGTGAAAAACCAACCTTGTGAGAAACCTAACTGGGCCCAATTCGATTCATAAAACAGCTACTGCCTTTATTCAGAATTGAACCAGCGACCGTTTTATAACCAGGAAAGCACTACAGTGTATGCAAATGCACTCTCCTAATCAGGTATATGTGGACATTCAAAGATTGATCTAATAGGGAACATATTTTTTGTCATTGAGTAAACATATTGTATCAAATATTGAGAATAAACCCCTTTTGTTGAGGTATCTTGCAAAAATCGTTCGTATATGGGATATAAATATAACATAGTATGAGCGTATGTCTGCGACTTCAATGACACGAGATGATTATTCTAATTACCCAGAACTAATTTGGTCAGACATAAAGCAGGAAGCTCCTAGAAATACTATTTGAAGCCCAAAATACGTGTCAATGCTGTTGATACAATAATGTTTGTTTTGAATGTCTAAAAATAAGCCGTAGAGCGAACGATTGTGCTTCACTAGCTTTGCCTGACATGGTTAGCTCGACCCTACAACTACTAATTGACATAGTCAATGCAACAACCCATACAGGGTGCTAAACATTTGGAGTAGAGAGATCATCTCTGCTTTGGACGATGTGAAATTTTTTTCTGCAAACAATTTATTAGACTGTTTACATTTGGCTAATCTCCAAGAGCCACAGATATATTTGAAATTCCTATATTTTGTAACTATTAGCCCTACTACTTTCAAAACAGCACTAGTGTTGGTATATAACTGTTGTTAATAAACATAGTTATACAAATGTTGCTAATTAAATCTACTACAAATTGGTTTCATATAAAATAGTTGAACTAAGTAATCAACAAACTACAAAAACGGCAATAATAGAACTGCTGCTAACGCCTGGCGCACTACAACACAGGTTGAGAAGCTTATCTTCGTTGAGGATAGTCTACCACGTACTGCAGGCGCTAGGCTTGCAATGTATATTTTGATCTGCGATGTGTGCTGCTTTTCAACCTTTACCACCAATGCGTGCTAAACTAGGGTTTAGATCTGCTAAGTTGTTATCCTTTATACTACGTTCCTCGGAGTTAAATCAAAATACATACATTGTAAAGTTCCACTGTTGATAATTTGTTATCTTTGTAGCTATTTGTAACCTGTTAGCAATCATATTAAAATAACATATGTTTCCAGATTTTTTAGTGTTACTATAGTTATTTGTGCAACTAGTGAGAAAAGTGAGCAATTGACTCACTCGAGAGAAATCCTTACTCACGAGCCGTAGGCGAGTGAGGAATGGTTTCTCGAGTGAGGCAATTGTACTTTGAACTCGAGTTGCACATTATACTTTTCCTACAGTTACCATAAAAAAATAAATTTGTGAAGAAACATAACCTATTTTTACACAGAAGTGAACTTTTAATATAACATTTAATGTGAAGTGACAAATACAACAGTACAACAGCTGACCAGCTGATTTACAGCCAGTGCTGCCAACGTATTTAGCGCGCATACGACGTTGCCTGCATGTTACGCGCTCACTATTTCGCGCCTTCACGTTGCAAATCTGGAGTGAGACAAAGTAATTAGAGTGAGACAATGTTGACATTGTCTCACTGATGAGCGAATTGGCCACTTTGCTTTCTCAAATGAGTGAGAGAACATCTACATTGTTAGGTAACTGTAGGAAATAGTAGTTTACGCAACGATTGCGTTAAGTGAGTCTTTACGACACGAGTAGAAAATTTAAGGCACGAGCCTTGGCGAGTGCCTTAAAAACTTCTACGAGTGTCGTAAAGACTATTAACGCGAGTTGCGTACACTACTTTACCTACGACCGTTTTTTAATTACTATCAATCTGGATTTAATTACTAACAATCACTACTGATAACTTTTTAGAGAGGTTATGATTTCGTGTATTGTCATTGCCACTGAAAGTGATGCAACGACTTGTTGTATTATCAGCTGATTTCCTGTAATTACGTGTTTGTTAAACTTAAATATTACATTGCTAGCAGCATTCTTACCATAAATAATATTGTATCAGGTACAATTCGGCAAATATTTCATTTATTTTTGGACTTCCACCAACTTAATTAAGCATACGCGAGTATCAACATGAACAAGTCGGATCAACAATTAAATTGGTCAACTGATCAGCTGATCAGCTGATTAGTTGACGTTCGAAGCTTTAAAATTTTAATTCTTTTCTCTCAATACTTGAACCTCATTGGTCCGTTACCTGTGTGGATATGAGAAAACTATGAGGATATGACATGAAACTATGCGGATATGAAAGTAAACAGCTGTAAAGTGAAACTTTTCAATTCTAAGAACTGGACTGAAATGGCTACTTTAAAAAACGGTCGTAGGTAAAATTCATTTTCGACATACTGTAGCAAAAAAATCCGTTTTCAATGCATATGCGTTGCGGTTCTAAATTAGCATTTTACTCTAGGAAGTAAAAATCTATTGTCAACTCAGTTGAAAATTTCGATTGTAAACAAGTGCATGTATATATCGAAAGTATATATCGATTGTTTAATCGATTGTGGTTAGTTGTTGCATTATTGTGATCAGTTCGACATACCGATAATATAATTTACACTACACAATCTTAGACGAAACGATTGAATCACTTACTAAACAGCTGCTTGTTTTCACTAGCAAATTAAATTGAAAACAAACTAAAAGTAGTGTTGAGACGTTTTCTTTAAATAAAAACTATTTCAGTTTTGTTCAAATAATAGTTTGTTTAAACAATGGTGCAAAACTAGGAAAAATATAGCAGTGTCTTTTCAACCCTCGCTCATTTTCTGACCTCGGCTTCGCCTCGATGTAAAACTTGAGCTCGGGCCAAAAGTCCCTAGTGATTAAATATACTATTGTACGAACTTTTACTACTACTGACAAACTAATTAATTACAAAAAGTAATTAATTTAAATTTTACCTTACACTAATTTAATAAAATGACAAACGTGTGTGAACCTTGGACAATACAAGGCAATCACGTTCATTTAGCCTATGTTTCCGGAGCTCTGAGAAGCGTAGTATTAAATACGATGAGACATTTAGAGGGTGATTCAGCTCTGGGGGATTCAGCTCTGGGTGATTCAGCTTTGGGGGATTCAGCTTTGGGGGATGCAGCTTTGGGGGATGCAGCTTTGGGGGATGCAGCTTTGGGGGATGCAGCTTTGGGGGATGCAGCTTTGGGGGATTAAAACTACAAATAGTTATCTAACATAAAAACCTCGCAACAACGTATTGCTGGGTATGGTGTTATGGTTCTTACATTTGACTTACCTGTTATTTTATTTTCAGCACATGGAATCTCCGTCGTAGAGCGGCCTCCGAGTCTTCGCTCTCTGTCCAACTCTGTCCTGGTCACTTGATGACTACACTTTCTTTCACTTTTGTACTTATTTATTTGTGAAATGTTTTGTTACGATGTCTTAAATACATTGTTTTGTTTTGTAACTGTTGAATTTGATTCCTCATTCAAATTTGTTGGTTATTTAACAACAAGCCAATATAGTGAATACATCGCGGTTTCAGTTAATCACAAATTACATTTTTAGTGTTATTGATGTTTAAGTGAAATGATTTGTCCTTCATTAATAAAAAAGTTCAAGAATTTTCAAATACTCAGTACTTGCTCCAATAATTCCAAGTTATAATTTGGATGTTTAATTAAATTGACTGTATCTGCTAGAGAATACTATATAATAATATGCACATCGTGTTGATAGAATTTTTTTTGGTGCGCTACGAACTGTACGTGTAGAATGTTAAAACAATAAGTGTTAAAAGTGAATTTTTTTTACTTGACCATGGGTTGGAAATTGCATTTAGTTTGAAGTCTCACCCCAAGACTTTTACAAGGTATAATCTCAATTTGTTGTTAACTTTTAAATCTTAAGTCATTATTTGAAATGAAAGGTAATATTAATTTTTATAAAAAAAAACTATAGCATTTAGTAAATGTAGTGCTTTACAAAATGTATCCCGTGTAAAAACTAAAATAAGTTGAATGGTAAATCAAGTGCAGAAAAATGTTTATCGACTTCGTGTTTCCATTGTAAATTTTGATAAATCGCCCAAACATCTCATCGGAGACTCAAATTGACAAGGATTGGCTGTCAAAAGTACATTAGACGTTGTCATTCCCGCTTCTTCAATCAAAATGTCGAGAAAAAGAGGAGAAATGTATTCTGTACTGGTATCAGGATGGTTATAAAATACTGTTCAAGAGTTACGATTCTTAAATTAAATCAGTTTGGGATGTATGGAGAGACACTTCAAGTGATATTTTTTTATGCAACTTTCAGTTGACGGTATTGTATGTATATTCCTCAAAAATTTTTTTTTAATTAATTTATTATAATCTTACATGTGTAAAGAGAATGACCGGTTCTCGTAATAAAGTCTAAAAACATTTGAAAAATATTAAAACTGGTAGTTAAATGTCCATTAAGTTGAGTTACACCGACGAACGCATACAGTAGGTCTAGGTATATATTTATTCTATTTAATACTTAACTGACGTACTGGGGAGTTAGAAATAAAAACGTACATTTAAAAAAATATGTTTAATCTAAATCACATGATGTTCTTTAAAAATCATTGACTTTATCTTAATGTTGTTATGATTCCACATAAGTGATCATTTCATAACTATGGTAGGGCCTATAATACAAATCTCAAGAATCAGTAGTCACCTTAATCCATCATGGCTTCTAAAATTAAATAAAAACGTCATTTTGGCAACAAATGCTGGGTTGTTCGAAAATAATACCTGAAACAATAATTTATTGTTATAAATTTAGTTGTTTACTGGAAGACTAAATCTCAAAAAACTTTAGACCTACGCTGGACCAGTCTTTCCCACCAGATACGTCTACGAACTTTAATTTTATAAATATCTAGTCAAATGTTTGTCTTTACGTGTTTTGTCCATGTACGTTTGTATATTTTCCAATTATTTTGCAAAAAACTACGTGTTTTAAATGATAGAAAATTGACACCCTTAAAAAAAATTGGGCTTTGAGAGTCGGAACCGGTAACCTATACAAGATACAATAATCACGCCGGCAGTAAACTGTACTAAAAACCAATATTTGATTTTTAATTCTGAGGGTGTCAGATATAAGGGAAATTTTCATACTTACCATAGCACAAGTATAGTTTTTATATAGTTATCAGTAACCAAAATGGTAGAAGCCGAGAGTGTTTTTAGCTTAAAATATAAATTTTACTTCCCTTTACTGATGGGAACACTAGGTAACAAATGTAATCATTCCAATGATAATTATCTATACACGAATATTGTCTCAATTGCAGGTAAAAATAATGACGATGCTTGATGGCCAGGGTCGATAAATAATGCCCTGACTCTGCTCAATTCTGTGATCGCCACTGCGATTGCCACCAAGTATATTTTATGTATCATACTTATCACTTTTATTTAATGTAATATTATCTAAAACTCTATTTTCTCTTGTTAATGTCACTGAGATAGCTGATAGCTATTCTTCTGTACATATTACAACGAGTATAGTATTATATCTGTTGGGCTTGAGAGTTAAGACTTGCCGTATTCAAATTCAAAGGAAATACTAAACTATTACATCAGCACACTATGTGATGGACTTTTTCACCTTCTTTAATTATTATTCAAAAGCAGGACACAACTTTAACATAAACGTTTTATATCTACGTATATTCATAATCAAAGATTAAACTCACTTAGGCCAAGGGTCTACATCTACCTCCGGAATCTCTCGCAAACGAAGCTTCACACATCCTTGGAGGGACGTCTATCAGTCTAGGCAGAGCCACCATGGGGTCCTGATCTTGAGGGTTCCACTGGGGCGGAGCCCTAGACACCAAGAAGCACGCTGTGACCCCTTGTCCGGCCAAGAGCAGCAGAAGGTAGGCGAGGAACATTGCGTAGTCTGTTGTTGACAGCTGACAGTGCAATGTACAAATCAGCTGTTTTACGTTTGCGGCGGTTGTCATTGTTTTGATTCTGAGGCTAAACTTTGTTACTCCAATGTGTAATCAATACGGATATTAGCATGGATCAAAGATTTAGGTTCTCATTCTTATAAATCAGCTTAGGACGATTTTATTATTAGTTTCGTCTGGAGCACTGTGGAGGTTGTGTTTTGTTTACAATTTATTTCTTGTAATTGCAGTCGTTTAACAAAATACAGGGTGATTCCCCAACCATATGCTACACTATTGAGATTTAGATATATTTTTGTTCGTTTTAGTGGTTTGAATACTAGAAAACAGAGAATTTGTTTTCTGTTTTTAATGTTCCAGCTGAAACAAAAATACAACTTTTGCTTAATACATGCCGACTTTCTATGTTTTAAATGTTAAAGACACCATGCTTTGTAGTCTTCAAACTACTAAAGCGTACATAAGCAGACATAAAGCTCAATGGTGTAGCATATGGTTGGAAAGCTTATAAAATGGCGCAGGTTTTAAAATATTCCAACACTTTCTTGTATACAGGGTGTGAAAAATGCAATAGACCATTTTTTTTTTTAATTTTTATCAAACATCTTAATTTTTATCTTTCAGGCATTACTAAGCATTACTTAAGGATGGTTTGTGTGAAGTTTGGTGCATATCCGTTAAATGGATTCCGCTCCAGAGGGTTTTAGGGGGTCCAATGTCAGGTATTTGAAACTGCAATGTTTACAAATAAATATTATTTAAAAGCATCTGTTTACTTTCTGATTAGCATCTTTTTGTAGTCTTGATTAATCACAACATTCTTTATTAGTCATGATTTGAAATAGTGCCACACCGTTACCATAGAATGCAGCACAGAAAACTATCTTACTTTAGGATAATCTAAGTCAAAATATATTAAACCACAATCGCAGCACACCCGTGCATTCAGCAACGTTTAAATGCTCCACCATTAAATATGCCGATCCATCAAATGGGCTCCACTCCAAAGGGTTTTGGCACAGTGTTAGTCAGCGAATTTCAAATGAATATTTCAATGTTTTTCACATGATCAAAGATCGAATATAAAATATCGATTATCATTATTTTATATTTCAACAATTGTTGACAAAACGTGTTGGTCTATCATTAGTGACATATTTTCATGTACTATAAACCCCTGCTAACGAGCTCAACGCATGCCTAAAAGCATATTACTTATGGTACTACGTTAAACAAACATGGGTGTACATTTACTGAAAGAAGCAATTGCAGAAACATTTTCTAAACAGCCATTGGGCATATTTAATGGCAAAATAGACCAAACACAAAAGAGATTTCGTTTTTTTCAAACTTCTGTAGTTAACTGCAACCCAATATTCAATCTGTTGTATAAAATGCATTCCCAGACTTATCAACCAATTTCAAAGATCCAGTGTAGCTCTGTGAAGGTGCAATTTTGGCCCCTAAAATGATAATATCGTCTATAGTTGTGTGCTCAAGAGCCTTATCCTTTTTTCCAGATAGAAGACTTACAGGTTTAATTGGGTTCCGAACCACTGGGTAGTATACAATGAAAGCTCCAGTGAAATATAGTATTTGTACCGAGACTTATTGGGCAGAATACTGCATTCTATCACTATACAATAAGCAACCTTATCAAAACAAACAGCAAGTCTGGCTACCGTAGAGGCATGAAAGTGTCACACTTTCTATCTCGTTCGGATACTGAAAATTCACAAAGAAAACTGAAAAATTGTAATTGGGTATCTTTATTATACAACACAAAAGCGTTTTATGCTCCTATGACTATTTCTCCTACAATTTTGAAGAAGTCATGTTGGGGACAATTGCTATCACGTGTTTTCTTGAAGTTCTCGTACGACTCTTGGTTAGTGAACGCCTCAGCATTTAGTAAGAATGGTGACGCAGCATTGGTAAAGGTCAAGTACGGTCCGTTTCTGAAAACAAAAATGTTTTAAAATTTATTACTTTCTTAAACTCACTGTCGGGTCATTTGTACTCATAATTTTAAACACCTTCATGATTTGGAAATAATACATTTAATGTAGGCTAAAACGTAATTTAACGTTTATCACAACTCTTTATTTTTAGCGTAATAGGACCTCAGCAGTACATTTTTGAATGTTTTATGACTTAAAATATGGGAAATTGATCAAACGATTGATAAAATTATAAGGCGTTGCTGCGATTACGTGCCGGGTGCGACCGTGCCGGATGCGACCTAGCAGAAATCGTGCCAGTAGCGACCCTGCTAGTAGTGTGAGTGCAACTAGCGACCCATTGTCTGAGAGATGATATTTTACAATGTTTTTTTTTCAAACAGAAATAAATATACTACTTTACTATTTGCATATAAACAAACCCTATACACGTTACAATTATATGTGCCAGAGTCGATTAGAATCTTTATTTTCCAGCTGCTACATCGAGAAGGTTGGGGTAATTTTGATTTTTAATGGGGATTTTCCCATAAAAACCCATAAAAAACCGGAAATATCGGATTTTCTCAAAAATGGCCCGAACGATTTTGATTAAAATTTAGTATGTTGTAGCCCTTTAAATTTTGAACAAAATGGTACAAATCCCATTTCTGTAAAAATTACGGTTCAAAAGTTATGGTAAATTATGTTATTTTCCCATAAAAACCACATAAAATAACGAAAAATAGGATTTTAGACAAAAATCCAGTTTTGATTTAACATAGTAGGTTACGGTCCTTACAATTTTGATAGTTTTTTTCATTTTTTAGAAATTTTGATTTTAGATGGGGATTTTCCCATAAAACCCCATAAAATAACGGAAAAATAGGATTTTCCCAAAAATGGCCCGAACGATTTTGATAAAAATTTAGTATGTTATAGTCCTTTATATTCTAAACAAAATGGTACAAATCCCTTTTCTGTAAAAATTACGGTTCAAAAGTTATTGTAAATTATGTTATTTCCCCATAAAAACCCCATAAAATAACGGAAAAATCGGATTTCCCAAAATTGGCTCGAACAATTTTGATAAAAATTTAGTATGTTATAGTCCTTTAAATTCTGAACAAAATTGTACAAATCCCATTTCCGTATATTTACTCTCACATGATAAAGGTTGTTGACAAACTTATGGGAGAAAGTATGTGTCAGAATGCTGATACCGTTTATTTTTTCTCTAAAAACATCAGCTGTATGGATAGCTTCGTCATCAATAAACTATGTAAAGTTGCAATAAACTCAATAAACTATACAATCAATTCGCGCCCTTTTCGAGCCTTGTGCTGCTTATTTTTTCTTGCATTGTGTGCTTATTTTAACTTATTTGCATGGCTTGATGCGTTCAAACACTTCTTTAATTCTCATCCCTTGTAGAAACAAACATAAGTACTCATTAAACCTAATCTAAACGACACTGTTAATCTACAAGTTAATCAAACATCGTTAACATGTGCGATTGTAATTGACATTCTTTGAAAATCATATTAGTGTTTCAATGATAAAAGTACATACTGTCGTATGGATTTCGTACTATCGTAATGTTATTTTAATAGGGAATAAATATAGCATTTTAAAGGAAATATTGTAGTGAAAATCTAATCAGGCCAATAGAAATTCGCTTAGCAGATTTACAGCAGTGTAAGCGTTTTGAATTTAATGTTTGAGCTGGATTTAAAATAAGAAATAGCACTGAATTTACCTTACAGAACTCTAGTAATTCGTGAGCGTATATAATAGAATTCTTGAGGCAAAGGATCAAAAATGAAACTTTAAACTAAGCTTTACTATGGTGGTTTTGAGTGAGGCTCTTACTGTAAAGGTTAATTTTTGAATTCACGATATCAACCTCATCCAATTAACATGGCCTGAGCTAACCAACGACCATTTGTCTATTAATGTTTGTATCATAGTTGGACACAGCTTACACTCCTTCAGTAGGTCTTTCCCCGAAGTCAGCGAGAGTTTCCATCGTGGGCATCATACATGAGTTTCCCACATACTCATCGAAGCCTTGGCAAGGGAAAGCCTTCAACGGCTTCTTGTCGGCCACCGTTTCCGCGTAAAACTTGACAGCTCGCAGATGAGAACAGCTGGTGTCTGAAATTATGGGTCAAATCACAGGAAAATTGCCATCGTTATTTTGTTGTATATTTTACTAATATATTAGCAAAGATTTAAACTATATCGATTATACTTAAGGGTCAGCTAAGGAAGGTTTAAGGTTGTAGTTTATCCAGCAATTAAAGAGGGCATTATTTTAAAAATTGGTTTCATTTCAAAAATATCATATTCTATTAACCGATTTTCTCCACCTGTTATCATACTTCATACTAATATTATAAATGTGAAAGTTTGTGTGTTTGTTTGTTTGAAGTTTAATCACGCAATAACCACTGGACGGATTGGGCTGAAATTTGGCATGATGATAGATAAAATTCCCGATTAACATATAGATAGGCATATTCTTAAAAAATCCTTTTAGGCTCCGCCCTAGTGGCTCTGTAGTTTTCCATGTTAACCTTATGAATATTCATATTTAAAAGGGATTAAATAGTTTTGTCAGCTGTTATAACAAAACAAGTTGGTTCTATGATATTTAATAGCATTAAAAAGTTATAAGGTTTACCAACAGGGTGCAGCACTATTATTTTTTTAGTATTTATGACAACAGCTTATGAACTAAGAAACAAAAAGCTGTGATACACAATGATAACCGTCTAAGTAGGATATTTTACAGTTAAATTTGTGTTTTTCACTTAATAAATAATTTGTGTTATTGTACGAATTGTTTATAGTTTACTTTTTTCTATTGTTTAGGCACAGTGGTAGAACATTATAGCTATCACAGAATGGTATACTATAGCATGCCGTTAATTAGAACCAAATGTTCTCAAACCGTGTCCTACCCCATTGCAAACGTAAAACACTAGTATAACAGTGCAATGAGAATTTTATACTTATACGCCAACCCCGTACGAGGACAGGTACAATGCTAGTATATATAAAACAGAAGATTGAGAAAAATGGGTCGTAACGCATTGTGCCTTCTAATAGTCACCAGCCCTTCACATTTGTTTAAGAATACTTTCTAGTAAAAACATTGAAACATGATCAGTTTGGATCATATAAAAATTCGATATTTTATAACGTCCCTATGCACTACTCCCCCTCACCCCCTCCCCCCCTGATGCCAACATTGGTTTTGATCATCTCCAATATGCCATATGCCCCAATCAACAATAGAAATCAAAATGAGTTACACTTTTATTGCATACTCAGCCCCCCCCCCCCCTATAAGTTCTTGTCTATAGGCCTAAGATGAGAAGTCTACCTCATTTCAATACCTATGTAGCCTATAGCGATAAGTAGTGAGTTTTGTTACAGTAGTCATCCACGCATTCAACACTAGTTACTACATTTATTTGTCCTCATACTCGGCTCACGATGTTTCAACATAGGAGGAAAAGACATTAACGATACCATCAGTGTAAAGTAACTTTATACGATTTATATAGTTTTACACAGTATAAATCTATTTTGGCCAGATTATATTACTGATATTGAAAGACATTTTGAATTATGTAGCTGATTTCTGGAACATGTGTGTGGATGAGGTATTAACAAATAAACATTTGTTTACGGGATATGAGTTTTCCCAAAATAATCATAAATTGAGAAGTTAACTGGAGTTTAATTAGACGCTGGTTTAAAATCCGTTATCAAGCAAAGACATTATCGTCACAAAAACAGGTAATTAATCCCACTTTCATACTTGACATTGCTTTATCGTAAATGTGGTTGACCACAGATTGATTACCTAGAATGACACACATCGGGAACACTTTCAAGTGACAGTAGAATAATGTCTTACTATAAAGACATTGACGAGATTGTAATGAATCAGACGGCGAACCCTAGGTGCAAATAAGTTTCTCTCAACTTGACGAATACTCACCACAGCTGCACCCTGGCTGGTTCATCTCGTCTTTCAAGTAGAGATCCACAGTGCCACTGGCGTCATCTCTACCCTTCAGCCCACTGTTGGAATGCCATACGGCGAAACCCTAGGTGCAAATAAGTTAGTCTCAACTTGACGAATACTCACCACAACTGCAGCCTGGCTGGTTCATCTCGTCGTTCAAGTAGAGGTCTACAGTGCCACTGGCGTCATCTCTACCCTTCAGCCCACTGTTGGAATGCCAGACGGCGAAACCCTAGGTGCAAATAAGATTGTCTCAACTTGACGAATGCTTACCACATCTGCAGCCTGGCTGGTTCATCTCGTCTTTCAAGTAGAGATCCACAGTGCCACTGGCGTCATCTCTACCCTTCAGCCCACTGTTGGAATGCCATACGGCGAAACCCTAGGTGCAAATAAGATTGTCTCAACTTGACGAATGCTTACCACATCTGCAGCCTGGCTGGTTCATCTCGTCTTTCAAGTAGAGATCCACAGTGCCACTGGCGTCATCTCTACCCTTCAGCCCACTGTTGGAATGCCAGACGGCGAAACCCTAGGTGCAAATAAGTTTGTCTCAACTTGACGAATACTCACCACAGCTGCACCCTGGCTGGTTCATCTCGTCTTTCAAGTAGAGATCCACAGTGCCACTGGCGTCATATCTACCCTTCAGCCCACTGTTGGAATGCCAGACGGCGAAACCCTAGGTGCAAATAAGTTTGTCTCAACTTGACGAATACTCACCACAGCTGCACCCTGTCTGGTTCATCTCGTCGTTCAAGTAGAGATCCACAGTGCCACTGGCGTCATCTCTACCCTTCAGCCCACTGTTGGAATGCCAGACGGCGAAACCCTAGGTGCAAATAAGTTTGTCTCAACTTGACGAATACTCACCACAGCTGCACCCTGGCTGGTTCATCTCGTCTTTCAAGTAGAGATCCACAGTGCCACTGGCGTCATATCTACCCTTCAGCCCACTGTTGGAATGCCAGACGGCGAAACCCTAGGTGCAAATAAGTTTGTCTCAACTTGACGAATACTCACCACAGCTGCACCCTGGCTGGTTCATCTCGTCGTTCAAGTAGAGATCCACAGTGCCACTGGCGTCATCTCTACCCTTCAGCCCACTGTTGGAATGCCAGACGGCGAAACCCTAGGTGCAAATAAGTTTGTCTCAACTTGACGAATACTCACCACAGCTGCACCCTGGCTGGTTCGTCTCGTCGTTCAAGTAGAGATCTACAGTGCCACTGGCGTCATCTCTACCCTTCAGCCCACTGTTGGAATGCCAGACGGCGAAACCCTAGATGCAAATAAGTTTGTCTCAACTTGACGAATGCTCACCACAGCTGCAGCCTGGCTGGTTCATCTCGTCGTTCAAGTGGAGATCCACAGTGCCACTGGCGTCATCTCTACCCTTCAGCCCACTGTTGGAATGCCAGACGGCGAAACCCTAGATGCAAATAAGTTTGTCTCAACTTGACGAATGCTCACCACAGCTGCACCCTGGCTGGTTCATCTCGTCGTTCAAGTAGAGATCCACAGTGCCACTGGCGTCATCTCTACCCTTCAGCCCACTGTTGGAATGCCAGACGGCGAAACCCTAGATGCAATTTAGTTTGTCTCAACTTGACGAATGCTCACCACAGCTGCAGCCTGGCTGGTTCATCTCATCGTTCAAGTAGAGATCCACAGTGCCACTAGCGTCATCTCTGCCCTTCAGCCCACTGTTGGAATGCCAGACGTCGACCATGGTACCCCTGGGTCTGCGGAACAGGTGTTTGTCGGAGTCCGAGAACAAGGGTAAAGCCGGGTCGAACTCTACAATAGTACAAATTTGTAAGTAGCAGATTTAGAATGAATAGTTTAAGCAGAATTGAAACAAAATTTGACCGAAGAATTGGTAAAGGTAAGACCTTCGTTTGAATATGACCAATCTCTATAGCTAACGTTTACTAGATCCAACCCCGCTAGAACAAAAATACTAATTTAAAAATATAACAATAAAAACCATACAAGACAACAAATCTTTGTCTTTTCAAAAATGTTAACAAACCAACGAATATTTTGAGAAAACCAATTGCCAATGCACTACCAGCTCAAGGATGAATAGGTTTGGAATTGAAACACAATTGGCCGTATTTTCGAGGAAGGATTTTTTTACTAATCAATAGATAATAAATGTTTAGAAATATGACAGAAACATTTGCATAACTGTAAAGCCGCATTTATACATTACTTAACAAAAAATATCCAAAACATTTTATTATAGCAATTATTGTCATCACTGGTAACAACATAAAAAACTTTGAAAAAGGGCTGTAAGACTGTGAATTACACGTTGTAAATACTTTAAAACTATTGATAGCAACTAAATGTCATCAAACAAAAGATCTCTCTTTGGGTTCTGTAATCTTTTGTTTGAAAACCATGCTGCAAACTCCGGCTTGACTGAAGATTGTAAAATAACGAAGTTGAAGGGTCTCTTTACTAGATGATGAACTAGTAAGACTCTAATAGGATGATAGACTCTCTAAATCTTAGATACTAAATTTACATTGTTGTTTGGTCCAGAATTCAAATTATATTGAAAGGATTTTTTATCGAATCTAATCGCTATTAATGTTAGGGTGTAAGTTTAATAACGTAATAGAAACGATAAAGCTTACGTGTAACTCTGGCCAAGTCAAGGTCTAGAGAGGCCCAGGCCACTACATGCGCTCCCATGCTATGGCCCAGCATGTGCATCTGTAAACAAAGTGTGTATATATTATGTACCGGTAGTCAATGGCTATGTACACATATGTAAAGCACCAAAGGACATTATACCATGTGTCCCGGAACCTCCTGGTCCTTCAATGCGAAGCCGACGTGTATGAAGATGTTTTATGGAATATAAAGACTTTCATTTTGTTTAAAGTGGTGTTGCGCTCAGACATTTGGCATAGAATGGTAACCAGTTTATCAATTTGCAATATTTAAAAATCTCTAAATGATTTCCACAAAAGATAAAATTAAGCTAAGATTTGTATCAATTTGTACAGTGTGCTTTTGATTTTTTTATCATGCTATGCCACTTTCTAAAATGGTGGTAAATAAATTTGTTTTAGTACAAACACAACTGATGGATTTTGGTTAAATTAAAATTTTTCGTTTTAAATCTTTTAAACGGACTTTTTAAGCAATTGTGTGTAGTTTGTAAGGAAAAGTTAATAAATTAGAAGATTTACATGGTTTTATCAACAATATAAAAATAATTCTTTCTTTCCGTTAAAATGTACGAAAAACTAGCAGTAAACAAATATTATTTAAACTATTGTTTCTTCTAGATTTTTTTTTTTATTGTTTGAATAAGACAATACAATACTTAACAGCCATTTGGGAAAAACGTCAGGTAATAAAAATATGATACATCTCGAAACATCAGGATAATTTAAATTAAAAGTCCATGTGATTCAATTTTTTTAAATTTTTACAATATAGCTCTTATTACACAGTAGTGTGACAATGCTGTGTGATACGGTGTGCTATTATTACTATTACTGCGTAAAGAATTATTATTAGATTATTATTATTATTATTATTAGATGCTTCGCTATCTACTCCGTTTTATCAGTAGGCCTAATAGAAATATGAAGAACTCGTACTTCAATTGCTCTATATATTTTTACTAAAAAAACAAATATAGTAATGTGTTGAAAACACCCTAAAAGGTTAAACTAAAAGGTTAAAAGTTGGTAAAGTAAGATTTGTCTCCTCTGTCCATAGTTGAAAAGAAAACTGTATATTATATAGCTAAGTTGAAAAACATTCAACAACTTTTAATTTTATTTCAAGTTAGTTTGAAGCTATTGTAGGGATGTATACACGTCGTTATCTTCAACATGAGCTTTTATCTTAAAAAAATACAATTACCTGTCCCAAGTCTGTACGTAATCGCTGCACTTGTTTTAAGAACTCCGCCACACACTTGCCTACTGTGGGGATACTGTAAGCTGCCTCGGTGTAGCAATGTTCCTTGCTGATGGGGCTCCAGTCAACGGAGATTATGTTCATATCACCGCTCTTGAAGTATGCTGCAACATTAACGTGCATTACACATTTTATTCCAATGCCAATAATTGATAACATAGCTATTTACATTTAATCTATTTTATTAATATACGTGATTTTGGGCTATAAAGTAAAACCTCTATTGTCTAATCAGATATTAGGAAACATCTAAACCTGTTGTAGACTGTTTAAAATAGATAAACTAGTTTATAACAATCACATCCTCTTCATAACTGTATTTCTTCATAGTAAATGAAATGGAGAATGAAATATCATCATCATTCTTTTATTGATTTTCCCCTCAAGGGTACATGAAATAAATACATTTTCAAACTAAAAGTACATGAAAAAACAAAGGTTGGTAAATTAGTTTTACTATATAATGACTAGGCAAATAAATTTAATAAAAACCCAATAAATATCTCATAAATAAATATAAACATAGAATACCGGTAAAAGAACATAAAACACCTGCACTGATAGCTGAGCCAACATTCAAAATTAATTGTATTCAAACATGCATTGAAAGAAAGATATCTGCATTGAAATTTTAAACCAGACATTTAAGGGGGATTTGATTCAAGAGGTGGGGAGGGCAGCTGTATGTTGCCTGCGGGCCTTATTTTTCCATTCATTCTATAATATTTCAAAAATATTTTCAAATTTTCCGCAAAATTCATGCAATGTCGACTATTGTTTTCCATAAACATACTGTCCATTTCAGATTTGCACATTCTATTGTCTACAGTCAATAAAATGCATGCCATCCATTCTCTATTTCCCCACACAGTACGCATATTCTATTTCCTGTCTCATCTTTCCTGCACATCCACAACCAGGTTCCTAATCTATATCTCGCTATCAGTGACCTCTGACTTGGTTTAAGTAAACAAACATACTCTGCTCCTGACCTTGGCACTCCAATCATCCTTATAACTTGTAAACTTGTCTTTGTCATCGCCTCAGTCCACAAATAAGAGTAACATGCATTCTTTAAAACATCTTTAATTTGTTTAATATGTTTTAAGCTAAGAGTATCACTTTGCCAGATCTCAATTAAGTTAATATTTTCCGGGAATGAAGTATGAATGAGCTGAGTGCAGTGAGAGTATTTTAAATGCAAAACTTACAACCTATATTAATATGAATGGTTATTTTTACTATTGTTACGGAGGGTCAGGAACGTTAAGGGAGTCGCGCGCGTCTATCTCTATAATCTATAATCTCATAGGTCGCCTCAATGGCATAGGCGCATAACTGCAGGAGCCATGCACCTTGTCTAGCTATAAATATCCGTGGAAATACAGGATGGAGACACCTGCTTTGTGTTCCTTAATCCTTACCCCATTGTCAAGTTAAAATTGGATGAGGTAGCACCAATTATTGTGTTTAATCAACTGTAAATATACGCTGTGGCAGTGACAGTATAGTGACAGGGTAGTGCGAAGTGATGTTGTATTAAGTGATAACCCCTGTAACTTAGCTGTAATTACTGTAAGTAGAAATGTTGCAATTAAGGTAGTTAGGAAATAGATAGGGTTAGCTAGGTTAGTTAGGTGATTATAACTACTGTAATAAAAAAAAATATTTGTGTTCATTATAAAATTACCTCAGTTTTTTTAAACGATCCTGTATGCTTGCAACAATATTAAACCAAATGTCATTTTATGTACCGACTACTCTTCACATGATGTGGTTTTGTATTTGGCAATTATTAAAGCAGATCAGCTTTTTGACTAGTTGATTTTTTTTCTTCAAAAGGCAAAGTTCGCATGGCGCAGTCGAATGAAGGAGCTCTCTGACCATAAAACATCCGAAAGCCTATTCCCTCATTCCTTACGAATAGGTAACATGCAAAAACCGTTTTGAGAGGCAATATTCCCTACCAAATTAATTCTATGTTCTGATAAGTGTCAAATAGTCAAAATACATAAATAAATAAATACCACCGCCGTGGCAAACCTGCAAACTAAGCAAATTTCAATTTGTCTGATTCGATTTAAAAAATTGTATTTTTAAATTTTAGTTGTAATTGATTATTATGACCTTAGATTTCTTGAAAAATAATAAATTATTATATATGTATGTTAGCTGGGCCAAGCTTGAACATACTAATATAGCTATAGTAACCAGTAGACTAATTTTTGAGGACCAAAAAAGTACACCACAAATTCTTTGACTTGTGGATTGCCCAACTCCGCGCAGTGGTCAAATTTAATCCGAGGAAAATTGTTATGGCCCCCGAAGGGTTCAGCCCAACTCCGCGCGGTAGTCACTTTTAGTGTCAAGTCCAATTCCTCGCGGTGGCCACTTCTAATATCTACGATAGTTGATTAGCTAACGCTTTTACTAAAAGAATGGCTACAGCACATTTGCTTGGAAGTGCGTTTAAGTTTCCAAAAAGTTTACTGCTGTTATTACAATAATACCCCCGCCCCAGAAACTGCCGACCAAGCAAATTTCCATTTTCCTGATTACATTAGCAGTAAAATATCTCTATAAAAATACCACAATTATTCTCTATTTAAATAGCATTAGTTTAACTAGTACACATAGGTTTGCAGGAGGCAGGGTAAAAAGTGTTTTTTGTGAAATGTCAATAGTTAAATAAGTCTAAAATAAATGCATTTTTAAATTTAATCAAAATATGTTCCTTTTACAGGAAATTACAATAGTTTACTCATTTTCCATAAGAATAACAGAGGAGTTTTCAAATTAAAGTTTTTGGAATTTTTTTTAGCCATTATGGCGCATAATAACGCTTCGATATGCTAATTTGTTTGTCTTTAAGCTTTACAAAATGCTTTTAAAAGAAATTGCAAAAATTTATGCTTTTAGGATTAAAAATGGGGAAACCCTAATTTTTACCCCATAAATGCCAGTTCTCGTGGCCCGCTTGTGCTGGTTCGTGAACTTGTTCGAATAAATGTAGGTTTACACGTTCTTACCAAATTTAATCTAAATTTGATAATTTTTGCTCGAGTTATATCGTGCTAACGGATATACATACATATATGAATTTGAACGGATGGTGTTTTTGGCCTTTTGGACATAAAAAGGACCTACGGTAATAGCTTATTCCCTATACGGGAAATTCGCTAAAAACTTTGGTCTGGGTCTGGCTTCAAGGAAAACCCTCTTTATAGACGTAAAATTCGCCAATTAATAAGACGTAAAAGAAATATGTTAGCTTATTATACAAGTAAAATTATAGATTCTCAACTGGAGGTAAAACTTAAAAACCACTATGTAAGAAGTTCAAAGAGTCCGTGCGAAGAGTGGATACGTATGAAAGTTTCTGAGGTTCACAGTACACAATTATTTAATAATACATTTATTACTGGTTTTCATTAGCTTCACGAGGAACATTAAAATTCACAATCTTTCTCAATGAATTCTTAAAACTTCTTATATTAGTGGTTTTTAAGCTTCATCTCCTGTTTTAGGTATACCAATGGAACATGTATAACAATTCCAAACTTCAAACACCAACTCTCAGCCGTCAGGGCTGTGAGAGCCAAACTTGACCACTGCGCGGAGTTGGACAGTCGGTTTTGACAGATTTCTGACCACCGCGCGGAGTTGGGATAAGCTCGCCCACTTACTATAGGAACCCTTTCTGACTTACCAGGCCTAAGTTCTTCGTTGATGGCTTTGTCCTTATTCATGGTGTATCCATGGACAAGGACCTTGACAGGCAGGTTCCTGATGAAGGGTGCGTCTCGTATCGTAGATTCGTCACAAGGGTTCAACTGATAACCATCATTCTGACGATCCCTGAACTTGCATTTTGTTATTTAATTATGGTATATTTCATTACAAGTACGGAAAATATTTGTTTAGCGGACGAGAGACGTGCGATAATTTTCTCCATTAATACCTAAACTAACCTAACAATAATAAATAACAGTAAAAAAAAAAAAACATTAAACGTCTTTCCAACGACCTAAGGATTTATAACAGAAAAATTATTGGAAGGCCACACTCGTCTAGTAAAAATATATTTTCCGTACTAGTAATGTAGCATACTGTTACCATTCACATTAAATCTAATCAATTTAATATTTTCACAGAAATGTCTGTACAATAGCGTGAAAACTTTTAAAATTAACAAAACCTATTCTGTAAAACAAAAACTACACACTTTATGCATTAAATAGGCTATGTTACTATTTTTTTTTTAAAGCTTAAGATTATTTTATTACTGAACTTTGTGTAGTTTATTAAGTTCTTCGAGTAACTCTTCATTTGCAACATAAAAACAAACTATCAATTCAGGTTAAGAGTATTTCTAGAACATAAACAGTAAATTTTGAAACTAAAATTTTAAAAACATCTTTTTTGTAATAGTTTATATTTATTATTTTTATCGACCCCAAAAACAATCTTACTGGACATACCTTTCTTTACACAACCATACCCCATACCACTTGAATCCGAAAATGTGCTACGAGTAAAATTAAGACAGAGAGTGGCACAAGTTGATGTTAGAGCTAGCTTAAACTCTTTTTACATACTAGCTTACAAAATTAACAAGTCGGTAACTTCTTTGGAAATCATGTACAGCTGTTTGAAATTTTATCAAATGAAACAACTAACAATATTTGCGGTCGTCTCCCTCAGACAGAAATATGGCCAAAGACACTGAGATAAATTTACATTATTTCTAATGTTCTTGATTTGTATGTGGTGGAAAACAAAAGATTTTCACACAATATATTCAGAAAAATGCCAAACGACATACGGATCAAAGTTAACTAAAAAGTGTGTCTAGCATTGGAAAATAATAGAATACATTGGTTGGCCCCACATAAAAACCCCAAGTATTACTTTCCTTGGCTATACTTAAGGCACTTACGTTTAATTATCTTTGAACGTTGTCAACAGTCCTACACAAACTTTCAACCTAGCCTGACTGAAAGGCCAGCTTTTTTCAAACTGTAAAATTGTTAATAGGCTATCATGTAAACAATTCTTGACGGATATACCTATATCTGGTCCTGACTGATATCTGCCCTGATATGAAAATCTTGTCTTTGGTAGTAGCATAGATAAAACACAACATCATAGTAGATTTGTCATCCTTATGTCAGTTGAAATCCTTTATGATCAGTTGAAGCCAATTTTATTGTTGGTTTCGTCTGGTGCACTGCAGAGGTCGTGTTTTTTTATATTTTTTTATTTCAGCCTCAAAACCTCATTTAGCCAAATAAAATGATCTAACAATAAACAATAACTCGTCCCCTAGTAATATATTCAACAGTTAAGCATAAACATACAATTGACCCTAAAATAATACACAATAGTAGTAATAGAACCGGGTTTAAAACCTTGTTTAGCCAAATGAAAAGATCTTATCATAAACAATAACCTGGTTCAGTGTGATTGAAAAGTCTCGGAACGGTTAAATATTAAAAACAAATCATGCAGATAGAGCTAACATACTTGGTACAAAGCTACATGGCATAAAACTCTATTTTAACACATATTCAGTGATCCAATAATTCTTCAGGGGGACGGCCCACAAGGAGTCTGAAGAAAATCTTAAAAGGAAGCATAGATCAATATGAACATCAAATTAAAGGTATTTTTTAGTAAAATACAATGCCGCAAACCGCACTTCAAAAGGTTGATCCTGCGCAAAATGACAGTTGTTCAAAAATTCATTTAATTTACATTGCTATTATACGCTTTCTCCTCAGGGGGCGCAGCCCTAGGAATCGGAAGAAAATTGTTAACGTAAGAATAGGTCGATATGCACATCTAAAGGTCTTCACTTTTAGATTACGATGCCGTAAATTCAAGCTCAAAAGAATGCCTGAGTAAAAAATGGCAGTCGTTCAAAGATTCAAAATGGCGGATTCAAGAAATCTTTGAACATCTGCCATTTTGCGCAGGATCAACCTTTTGAAGTGCGGTTTGCGGCATTGTATTTTACTAAAAAAGACCTTTAATTTGATGTGCATATTGACCTATGCTTTCTTTAAGATTTTCTTCCGACTCCTTGTGGGCCGTCCCCCTGAAGAATTATTGGATCACTGAATATGTGTTAAAATAGAGTTTTATGCCCTGTAACTTTGTACCAAGTATTTTAGCTCTTACTACATTATTTTTTAAAATATTTAACCGTTCCGGGACTTTTCTATCACACTGTATAAGCAATCAGTAAAGCATAATGATGAAGTTAACCCTTAAATAACAAAAAGAAGTTTTCACCGTCAGTAGCCAATATGAACTAGACAGAAAAAATGAGATTACAAATTTACAAAGGGATGAGAAGTCTACTTGTGTTGCTTAGTCTATGGTAGTAGTTAACGATTATTATAAATGTGTTTTCGTCCTCACCTGGTATAGAGCCAGGTGACCTGATTGTTAGGACACTGTAAGTCAGTGTATTTGTCGCATTGTACACCAGGCTTGTGTTGGTTAGTATTTGGTAGTAGTTACCGATTATTACAAATGTGTTTTCGTCCTCACCTGGTATAGAGCCAGAAGGTGATTTGATTGTTTGGACACTGTAAGTCAGTGTATTTGTCGCATTGTACACCAGGCTTGTGTTGGTTAGTATTTGGTAGTAGTTACCGATTATTATAAATGTGTTTTCGTCCTCACCTGGTATAGAGCCAGAAGGTGACTTGATTGTTTGGACACTGTAAGTCAGTGTATTTGTCGCATTGTACACCAGGCTTGTGTTGGTTAGTCTTTGGTAGTAGTTACCGATCATTACAAATGTGTTTTCGTCCTCACCTGGTATAGAGCCAGAAGGTGACTTGATTGTTTGGACACTGTAAGTCAGTGTATTTGTCGCATTGTACACCAGGCTTCTTGTCAAACAGGCTGACCACAGTTTGGCGAATCGTTTCACCAAGATTGAGTGAGTATACTGTACCTATTATAAAAAAAGTTAATACATGATTTTGCGTTAGTGAAGAAACTAAACAACATATTTTTTTTAATACGGTAAAAGAATCTTTCTAATTTGATAGACAGCTAAGGTGTCTGGTTCAAATTCTATAAGTTGATTTTAAAATGTTTGACTTCTACAAGGAAAACTTCAAGTAGTTTCCTGAAAATTTATTTTGATCACCCAATATTTATTGGTTAAGTGATCAAATTGGGAATTAGCAACTGCAAAAACCGTACAAGTAGGATTATGACATTTAAAAACCAAGATTCTTGTAATTGGTTCTTCTTGCCGATTTGTAAAAAAAACGTACGACGTTTAGACGTCAAATGAAAAGACGTTTCTTAGGGATTTCACACGATTTTCTGTCAAGCGTTACATAAAAGCTAAAATTAAACAACCGTCTATGGAGTTTAAAACTTTGAAATAAAGAAAAAATACAAAATTAAAAATGTTAGTGCATTTTTAAAGTTTAATAAAAAATTAAGATTTGCCGAATCCATTAAACAACATAACAAGGAGGCCCTATTTCAATTTAAGTTAATAAATTTAAGGAGTAAAAACAGTAAAAAATAAATAAAATAAAAATAAAGTAAAACCATATACGCAAAGACACTTTTGTTACATACCTGGGAAAAGACAGAATGCTAAAGTGGAAACACCTAAATAAATCATGATTTAGGCTAAAAGACTTCTGGCTCTTGTAGTCTGCAGAAAGCGTTTGGCTGAACTTTAATAGTGAAGTATTATACAGAACAACAATGACAAGAATCACCTGTTGGCGTGATAACAACACAACAATTCCCAGCTGTGGAAAAGCTGTGGGAGTTTCCTATATGACGTTTCCAAAGTGAATGATCAAGTAAGGAATACACAGATTTTTTAATGGATGAAGAAATGGTTTGGGATTAGCCATAAGGACATTTGGATCTACATCCGACTACTTCTACTGCTTCCTCTTTTATTTGTAAGCTTTTAGCTTTAATAAACAATTTTTTTTTAGAAGCTAACCATTAATAGAATGGAAACACTTTGAAAGAACAATTAGATGATTATGCCCTCATGATTTTCCAATAGGAACCGAAAGGAGAGGTATGAATCGACGAAGAGATCATTTTAAAGTGTAAGCTAAGTTCATGAATTACTCCCCTCAAGATAAAAATGTATATTATAATTGAATATTTTGATTTTTTACTGGTTGGTTTAAGACTTATAACTAAAAGTTTTAGTTTTAAATTTCTAACACATAATTCATATTAAACATTTTTGTAGAAAAAATTTGTTTCAAAAACTGGTTCTCCAAACTTCGAATATTCTTGTTTTTGAAACATATTTTTCTGGTATTTTCTTGAAACAGTCACAAGACTAGGGTTTCGACCGTTCTCTTACAAAAGACAAACCCCCAATGACAAACATATCACGACATAGGAAAGTAGCATAGCATGTTATATTATCAAAAATGTGTCCATTTTAGGTATTTGTTTAGTAAAACTGTGATCCGCGTGTGCCATTTCCGTGGTCAGTTACAACAATGCCATTAGCGATTTGACGGTCACTTGTAGCAAGTGCCATTATCAAACGGCTACTTCGGCCTCGTGTGGACCAGTTCGCTCACTTGGTGACCTTACCCACTGGATATCATTATCTCACAAGTCAGTTCTGAGTTTACCTCTCTGTCGAACAGTGTTTTAGTCTTCTAGTGATCGCAGACTCAATAATCAATACATTTGGCAATCAAGTGATTTAGGCTTTTCTGGCAAAGTGTTCGTATTTAAAAATTGGCTTGGTAAACTATAACAGTAATGTTCCCAATTGTTTATCTAAGCACTATTTTGGTTATGATGTTGTTTATTTTCATCTGTGAATCAATCGTCGTTATGATTTCTTTTCAGGAGTGATATCGGTTGTTTGCGGTATATGTTTTGACCACAGAAATAGCAAAACCATTATTACATTGCTGTAGTTGGGTGATTATACTGGGATTCTCAAATCACGGCTGCCATAAAAGTGAGTACTGAAGTTTACTATTTAAACGTTTGCTCATAGATGTTAAATTATTTATTTCAAAAATACTAAAAAGTATTTCTTTTAATTTGTTTTAAAAGATAATGTCCCCCGAACCTACGAAACATTATCGGACGATATATAAATCCTATCAGATATCGTTTTTATTCGATATCAATCTATATTATATCTATAATACGTGAAGCAGTTTTTTGTGAACACTACTCCTCTCTCATTTGTGGACCAATTTCATCGTAAAAAAACTGAATTTTGTAGTTTTTCAATAATATTTTGGAATAAAAAATTCTTACCCTTAAGGGCACAAGGCACTCCCAAAAGTAAATTCTCCCAAATTCTCCCTCTTAAGGATTACAAGGAACAAAAAAAAAAAAAACAAAAAAAAAACAGCTGTTAATAAAAAGAAGCTCAGCGGAGCTTTTTTGGGAGTGAATATTGATGTTTGTAATATTCAGGATGTTATAGGCCAATGTAAACAGTTGATCAATTTTGTTGGAAGAACTGAAAATGCCTTGAGTTGAAAGAAGAAATATTTAAAACAGATGGAGACAATTAATATGATATCTTATGCGTATGGGAAGAATGGAAGAAGAAATAACTCAACTGGTATAACCGTAAGGAATCCAGATACGCACCTACTTGCAATTTACTTTTATGAAAGTTAAAAATAGACGAAGAATATACACTTGATGTTGTCACGGTGGTAAAGTAGACTTGCCTAATGTCAGATAAATAATGAATACATGCAGAAATGTTTACTGGTAACAGCTATGGCTACAGTAAGTCCGGAAACATTTGTAGAAAACAACAGAAACAAAGCCAGCTTCTGAAAAATTATAAAAAAGGGTTTATTATATTATAACAGCGTGAGTATTTCCATTAGTTACAGAAGCTTTTAGTTGAGTATTTTAAAACCGTTGAAAATTATGCCTTATTAGTTTTAAAATATCTTTTGTATAATACCGGTACTTGATAATTGCTCGATTTCGAGGAACACGTACACTAGTATCAATTTATCTATTGAATGTGGAAATTGTATGCAGTAGTGTATTTCACGAAGACTTCTTTCACACTGCGTTGTGGTATTTAGATTAGTTCACTTTAGTTTGGTTTATTTGCTAAGTTTTCTTTTTAGCTCAGTTTATCATAACAACAAAGAAGATAATAAAAACAGAAGATGATATGTGGTGTAATTTATAAATAGAAAAATGTACAATACGTCAATTTGTATTCGTGTTAGCTTTTTTTAGTAGATTAAAAAAAGGTAAATTTTGTGAACGGTACCTTTTTTTATTGGGAAACGAAGCGAGTGCCGTTCTGTTCTTTGTCGTGGGGGTCATAAACTGTCAAAACGTGAAGTAGGCCCCAGTGCTGTTTGACTCCCCGGAGTGGCCCAGTGCGTAAGAGTGATTCAGGAGAGGGGTATTAGTGGAAGGGGTTGACTTGGGTAGGATGTAACGGAGACCGGGTACAGTTTCTGCACTAATCGATTGAAAATATCGATTCCATTAGTAATCCTTCATTCATCTTTTCATAATCAGCAAGTTTGGTTAGGTTAGGTTAGATTATAATAGTTTCATCTTATCCCTCAAACAAGTTTTGCTCATCCTGCCCCCACCTAATCGATCTTTCCACCCCCATACCCGCCTTACCGTAGACCCTTACCATGGAACCGGTCACTAATACCTGGCTAATAATACTACCTGGAATGCTAAGATATCTGTTCTTATTTTTGAAATTTAATTTGTTTAGGTACGTTTATTCTGATCAACTATTCTTATGAACAAATCATATTTAAAATTTCTTTGAGATATTATTTTAAAACCACAGTATATTAATCATATTTAATAATAGTTACTGTACCCGTGCTCTGCAACGGGAAGAAAATTCAGTTTCAAATAAGGGCGTTCCCTTAGTATAATAACATGTATTGATAGTTAAAACTATCTCTAGGTTGATAAAGCAACGGTTGTTGAATTTTTTTGTTTTTTTTTTAAGCAACACAGACTCTGCTGATAGTCAAATGAGCTGCGGCTATTTCATTTGAAAACTAGATGAAACTTATCCGGTCTTGAACAGATCTCTGAGTTTTCCATTACAAATACTGGTTAAAACTTTTGAACAAAACAAAACAGATTTGAATAAATTCTAAGTGAAACTACTAAACCATTGGCCCAGTCAGTGGATGGCCTTTGATTCAGGCCTCAAAGCCACACGATATTAATAATCATCATATATACAAGCTACAAACTCCATTGATTAACAAGATAATGTATGCAGTGGCATGTTCGTAGACTATTCTCTATTTAGTGAGATGTAGGAACCATTACATTTATTTTACAAACCAAGACGTTGCAGACTCGTTTCACAACAATCTGGAAACCACTGTTCCACCTTGAAGCGAACCTTCCTAGTTTGTACAAAAAGGTACTGAACGTGTTTTAAATCTGACCTCCAGTAATCGCACTGTCCAGGAACGGAACACCTGCTTATTATCCCCAATTAAGTAGTTTTTCATTCAAGTAAACGCCAAAGTCTCAGTTAAAAGCAAATCATTCTGTAATTAACAATTTCAGAAAAACCAAAACATAATGAGTACTTTTATTCATTGTTTTGAAGATGGATAGGATAGTTTACAATTGGTATTTTTTGGGGGTACTTATATTCGAACAATTTTATTTAACGTATGATCTTTAATTAAGCACGTCTTTCTCGACATCTTCTTCCTCTTGGAAGTGTCAAAATGGACTATCAACCAAAATTAGGACCGATGCCTTTTAGCGACCGGGGTTATTTTAAAACCAATTGAGGTTGTTTGATTATTCTGTAATATTTTACATAAGTGGTTTATATTTTGACAAAATAACGAATCTCACTCGTCATTCATTTCACAAACAGTAAATTAGAGTGTCAAACAACATGAACTGACAGAATAATAGACAAACACATTACATGCATTGATGGTGAAATGAAGTAGATAAACTACAAAACAATTAATACGAGGGACTAAACAGAATCAATTAGGCATTTAATTAATTAAGATCTCTTTCTAGTAAACACTTCCTTGTCTCGAATTGTAAATAGAAAATCTGTTTCTCATTGGCAGAACAACAAACCTATTAAGTTTATTTCCGAGGGATAGTGCTATCGCATTTCTAGCCTTAATGTTCTCTTTAGAGCAAAATCATCCTATCTTCTTAATTCTTAGCCGAAAGACTGTGCAAATAAAGATACCAACATGTTCGAAAAAAGGAAAGGGGTCTTCACTACGAGCAAATGCAATTAAAAGACTGAACCCATTCTAAGAATTTTCGACTGGGAAAATAAACGTATACTAACGTTTGACAATGACACATCTGAAGTCACGTTATAAGCCTACAAGCAAATCACACACTGCGGTTTTAAGGTTTAGAAGGAATTTCCTCATCAATAAGTTGATTATTACTCGCAGATGTTTCTGTTATAGTAATAATCACGAAACAGGATTAGTAAGTTGTTAGTTTTGTATGCTGGGTAAGACATTTTCTGAACTAGAATAAATTTAATTCGAACTAAACAATAAATGAAGAGGCTTTTATATTGCACATAAACCTATTCTATTTTCTACTTGATAACAGGACCTGCACTTTATAATTGGCCCAGAACCCCTAACGGAATCAGCTAAAATACACAGGCGATTGGAAAGAATTGAACGCAAGGATTCAGGACGGAATTCCCGTTTCTCTAGACTGCACAATTAGTACAATTAGACCCCACCCGTTCATCACCATTCGATACCAATCGCATTATATCAATATCCCGTTATTGGGAGGTTTTATTCGATAAAATGATGAACTCACAAAATGGGTTGATGTTACATAAATTCCTATTGGTTACCAACTAAAGAATTTTTAAATTTCCTGAATTTATGAAAGTAATTAGATTTGATTGAATAAACGAACCACAAAATATTCGGGGTAATTGTAAACTATTTCGCTAGCGTGTCAGTAATTGCCTTGTACCCTTTCTATTTTGTCTAAGTTAAACTTTAAAATCATTCAAATTGCACAGTATAACAGCTTATCTCACATAGGTTTATTAGCTGGATGTTCCCATACAAAAGAATGTAGTAAGTTTTTCCGTGAGTTCAAGATATTGATAACTGTTATAGCCCTGTAATTAGGAATACGTTGGAAATTCGGTCAAGTCCTCTAGTTCTAGGATGTATTTTCAAGTAAATGACAGCATAGTGGATTAAACGCAAGACTTCCAAAGAATCTACAAATATCCCCAAAGACATGATTTTATCAGCGATATTACCGTGACCAGTAGGTTTAAAGACCCATAACAATAGTTCTACTTATATATAAAAAAATGTATAGGTCCATCAGATTATGAGAATTATGAATTATGAGAATAATATGTCATAGATGAATCATGTAATGCCTGCATTGCAGAATTTCCTTTCCAAAAGACCATGACAAAAATTAAAACTTATGTATTTACACATAGGCCTGCCCATCTATGCCACGTCACAGCATAGGTCTCAGGTAAGGACAGTTTCTTAGTATCGGAGGATTGCCCCCTTAAAAGCCATGCAATAAGATGAAATCTTCCATCTTGATTCAGTCTTTTAACTTGTAGGTTTGTCTACTTATCCAGAGAACAATTGACGATATACTTTACGAGTTTCTTTGCAATGGATGTCTTCAAAACATCATACAATATTACAATTTAAATTATTGTTTTGTTATTAGTCTAATAATAAATCAAACTTTGAACAATGATTGCATAGAATTGCTTTGATCAATTGCATAGAAAAACGTTCTGCTCCTCTATCCTCACTCTCAATCTAAATCACTCCAGGAAAAGTCAAGACTATCCAAATACAAGTACTTGCTACACATTGTATAAAGTGAACGACCTTTCTCTTTCAGCCGACCTTCTGGAGACCAGGAAGAAGCAGAATCAGTGTTGCCAACATTCGTGCGATCAGGTAGTGCCAACCTGCGACCTTCACATCCGCTTTCTCCGCCGTCTCACTCCGAGACATGACGCTGTTCGACAACCTCCTCAGGAGGATCACGGAGTTCCTGGTAGTTCTTCAGATGTTCTTGATGGCCTCGTGTTGGCCCACGCCATTGGACGAGTACGACCACGACGAGGACGAAGAGGAAGTCGAGGAACCCCAAGTGCCAGACGTTAGGAGAAGAAACCAGCTGGGAACTGTGAATGGATAGGACAGAAGTTACCTGTGAGTAGTTCTAAAAATATTACATTTATGATTGTATATATATATATTTAAATTATAACGGTTATAGGTAGACATGGCACAGACATTTTCCTGTCTAATAAGAGAAGGCGAATGAACATAATGTTACAAAACCATAGTGTGTAAATTTAGCACAAACTCTAGTATTGAAAACTTTCTTATTTGTCTCCACCTGTTACACTATGACATAAATTCCTTAACCAAATTCAACACAACTGTGGTAAGTTCTAAATTACCTTACATTGTCAAACGTTCTGTTCTGTACATAAATATATTTAACGACACAATTGACTGAATAGCTTAGATGATATGTAGTAAGTTTAGCATTCAATGATTAGAACGTCAAGTTTTCTATACGCAATTTGTAATATTACATAGAAATTAAATGGTTTATTTTAAGAATTATTGAAATCCCAGTATTCAATCAAATATGTCCCTTATAATCTGCTGTACATTGAATTCCAGCAAATACGGCAATTTTGTTTATAAACCAGCTTAACTCATATAAGCCAAGATCCAACAGCATAATTGGACCTTAAATGAATCAATATTGTTTGAAAATATAAATTATAGTGCAGTACGGGCTTCCATAAAAAGCTGTAAGAGTTAAAAAAAAAAATTGAATCCTAAAGGTCCATCGTACTAGTATAAACTTAAAAGAAACTAACGTTCACGTGTAAATAAATTTTATAAAGATAAGGTTGCATGACAGTTGGTCTCCCCAGCAAAACAACCCTTGAGCTTAGTGAACAGATTCTTTATCAGTTCACTCGTCCAAAAACCGACATGGTACCAGATTGGTGGTTCTGCTTTAGAAAATTTTGGTCGATGGACCAAATGTGATCCCTTAACTTTTCCTGCTTCCACATACATTTGCCTCTCGTACACTATCTTGATTCAATTGTCGGCCATTGTCCATAAGCATATGCAAGGCACACGGTCGACGTCGGTTCAGACTGCATTGTATTCTAAGTGGTTGCATAATGACAGCATTGCTAATGACAGTCTAAATGAACGTGACCTTTACCTTGCAAAGTAGAACTATTGACACAAACTGATCTTCCAATCCCATAGTTACTGGTTTGTTTAGTTAATCATTTTTAGAATTTGTTTATAAATGCATTTAGAGATAATCAAGTTATTAACGATTCTTGAGCTAAACCTTGGACCTTTGCATGTTTTTATACAAAGCAAAAATTAAATTTTCTCACAAATTAAATCATCCTTATTGATCAACAGAAAACAATGTTAAAGATGGTTTTCAGTTACATACAGGGTGTTTTTTTTAACATTTTGTTTCTTGCCGCTTAACCCGCTTGATAATTGTGAATTAATATGATTTTCTATTTGTAAGCCTGTGATCTAATATCCATAGAACAAATTAAATATTAACAAATAGACACTAAAATATAAAAAAACCCGTTATTTAACAAAAAAGCACTAAAGTATAGTCAATGCACATAAATCAAAACAAAAATTGTGTATAGATTTACTCTTAACCTGTAATTTGAAAACTGCTCATACATTAGGAAATTGATAAAAGCTTTCCAATGTGTTGGTGTTGAAAAAATCAAATATAGGAAAATATAATGAGCATAAAATCTAAGGGTCCAGCTTGTATCGTTAACAAATTTCGCAAATGGAAGCATAAACCCAAAAATATTATATTTTTACTTATCATCCTATTGCTTTTAATAAATAATATCATTAGAACCAACTATTCCACAATAGCCTATACATTAGCATGCTTCACAAAATATAGCCAATAACATTTTGCAGAAAACTAAAATATTAACATACAAAATAATTTGTCTACTTATAATTACTAATTATGCAGATCACAAAATATTAGACTAAATATGTATTTATCAACTGTACGCATTTAAATATTAATTTACAGTTATTGTATAGAAAAATGCATTGTAAATATCATAATCTATATAATTAATACGCTACACGAAAGTTTGTCGGTTGAACTCCTCCGCCATTTCTTAACCGATTTTATCCATTGACGTCTCATTGGAAAGAGCGTGTCACGTAGATTTGCAAACTGACCTTACATTTTTGAAAAAGTCCCTTGGGCTCTGCCCCAGTGGCTTTAAAAATTCCCATGTTATCCTTATGAAGAACATAATTGTTTACATTTTGATCAGCTGTATAATTTTATTGCTGTTATTTACTTTTCAATTCAATGAAACACATTGAGTACATTTATTTACTATTTGAGTTTGTGTAAACATAACCCCCAAGACGGATCGTGTTAGTATGGTTGTATCTTAAATTTGTGTATTTATCGTTGTTTTGTGTCGCTATGATGGATTGTGTTAGCATGATTGTAACTTAAATTTGTGCATTTATCGTCGTTTTGTGTAGCTATAATTTGTTTATTATTTGTTGTTTATTTCTTTTAAATGTCTCCGACGCAACGACAACGAAACATAGACAGGAGGCGCAATCGTGATAACGACCGCAGCTACAGAACAGTGGCGCGTAATAGGCTTAACTCATCAGCTTAACAGTCTGAACATGAACCTGGACAACTTCAACTATTTGGTTACAAATGCACCCTTACACTACCCCAAAACGACTTTTCGTTCTCAATTGGCCCTCTATTAATGACCTGTGTTGCCTGTACAGCGAGGCATTTTGAGAAGGAGAGAACCGTCCGGAATGCTTTAGGTTTATCAATAACGAAGATAAACAGGGTCTGAGTTACACAACGGTAATATTTGAGTTGACTCTTTTAAATTCATTGTAAATATGACTGTTATTCAATCTGAAATAACTCCTGTAATACTTTGTAATTGCTCGAATTCGAGCAACATGTACACTAGTTGCAAATCAAAACATTAAAATAATGAATCACCAGATTTTGACATTACTACAATATTACAAGTCAAACACCTATTTATCACTTAATTGGGATTTTTGAGGTTCTTCTTGCAAACTTCAGTATATTGAATGTTAAAATCAAATTTAAATTAATTTAAATGACAACTTAACAAAAATTACTTTAGTTTGCCATTTGGTCATGGCTGTCTTTTTGTAACTGCCTAGTGCTAGGCCTTGTAACCGTGCGTTATTTTATTTGTTACAGAATAATTTCCATTTCACATGACACACTCCATTTACTTCTACTTTTAATCTTCAAACTAAATTTAAATTCATTTAAATGACAACTTAACACATATTACTTTAGTTTGCCACTTGGTCATGGCTGTCTTTTTGTAACTGTCTAGTGCTAGGCCTTGTAACCGTGCGTTATATTATTTGTTACAGAATAATTTCCATTTCACATGACACACTCCATTTACTTCTACTTTTAATCTTCAAACCAAATTTAAATTCATTTAAATGAAAACTTAACAAATATTACTTTAGTTTGCCATTTGGTCATGGCTATCTTTTTGTAGGTAACTGTCTAGTGCTAGGCCTTTGTAACCGTGCGTTATTTTATTCGTTACAGAATAATTTCCATTTCACATGACACACTCCATATTTACACCTCATACGTATACAGTATTTCCCTCCACAGCGCGACCGTGGGCGTAAGTAGCGTAATAACGTGCAATCTTCATCGTGGGTTTCCCTGATAGGTAGGAAATCACGTTTCGTAACAACATAATGATCTAATCAGCTGAGATTCGCTCGTTTGATGTAGGGTTTCTTCAAGTCCAATATCTGCGAGAAGCCGTACAGATTGGCGCCAAGTAATAAAACCGCGCTCCAGATTGAATCCTCTCAGAGAAGTCACCAGAGTATCATGTCGGGTCCCCTGACTGTCCAACTCCAACCTCTCTGGAAAAGATCTCACTCGAACAAGTGTATTGGGTAAAATCGACAATACTATATATATTTTATAATGTTGATCATTCCATACAAAATATATGTCCTTTTACCAGTGTTGCAATAAATGTTTAGAATCCCCAAAATATAACATCCGAAAGGTTGATAAATACAAATAATTTATATAATGTACATCTAAAAACTTTAATTATAAAATAATATTGTAATGTAAATATATCGTAGTTAGTGATTAACTATTGCAATTATTGTAATATCTTACTAATCTTATAAATGTGAAAGTTTGTGTGTGTTTGTTTGTTTGAAGTTCAATCACGCATAAACCACTGGACGGATTGGGCTGAAATTTGGCATGATGATAGCTTACATTCCCGATTAACATATAGGCATACTCTTATCACAGCATGGTTTAGCTTTGCCTAGCAAATATGAAACGTAGCCTAATTTTAAACTAGTATTTTCAAATAGTTGAATACTGTAAACATTTTTCCTTGACACACGTATGTCGTATAGTGTATGCGAGACATTAAACTCTTATCCTAATTGCTCTTTTCTTTGCAGGACCAAGGGGATCCTGAATTAACTACATACTGACATCGGAACCTTTCCTTTATAATAAACTGCAGAACACTGACTATTGGCAAGTAGAGTCAAGTGTGTGGTTATAATACCTGGTAAGCGTTAAACACAGTTAAAGGTAACTCGAAAATGATGAATTTTGAATGAACTTGATCAAAACAGCTGTTTTATGAATGATACAACATTGTTATTTCCTAAATATAAATACGAGGTTGATAACATACTTTCCTTATTTGTTAAAATAGCAAATATTTTATTTTTGTTTCTTTACCAAAATAATAAGGAAAGTAGTGTAATTTTACGTTTGATGTAATGTTGTTTTATTGTTAAAATAAATATTTTATTGTTTATAACCATCTCCTTATTTACCTTAACGAAGTGCACCATTGATGTAAATATTTTGTATAACGTAACGCACAAAAAAGATTTGGTCAATAAAATCAAAATGCGCTAAGGCATTTTTTAAACAGTCTTCTATACGCTCCTTGTAATAATGTAAAATACAAAATGTATTATAGAAAAGCTTACTAAAAATCAAAAAGAAAAAATGAAAATATTGAAAAATGTATTTGTGCTCCTTAATTGGTTACAAGTTTTAAACCCCTTTTAGATATGCCATCTACAAACTAGATATTTCTTGTTGACTTGCCCACTTCTAATTGCTTCCTGCTAGCTCATAAGAAAAGAAACCCCACACATCTAGAAAAATATAAAATGTTACATTTTGTTCATTGATTTGATTTTTTCGGCTTAACAACATATGACACTACTACTTAACTCACTATTAAGTTCATATTGATTACATACATATATACCACTCTTAAAACCTATCATCATAGAAAAGAATATAACTTGATAACTACTTTATTGAAGTTAAATAAAAGTGGCACATTTTATTCGCGATTCATTTATTACTCGAACATAGTCTTCCTATCTTGTCTAGGTTACCGACCTATTAAGGATGAATGAATATACTAATCTAACTTTACCTAATAATTTATTTTATAGTTTGATTGATACGTAAACATAAATAAGGCAGGAAACACATTGAAATAGTTTATTTAAAAATAAGTGGGAATGGGAAGTACACGTATGTTCAATAAAACTAGAATAACAAAATGAAGTTTTTCCTATGAAGGAAAGTAGAGGTGGGCCAGAGTGTGCTCTACAATAGGTAGGCTATAGCAGGAACACGTGTTTGAGATGAACGCCCACATGTTCTTCAGGAAGGTAGGCAATCCTTCCACAGCTGTAACCGTTAAGTAAAAACTTTCACTAGTTGCGTGTTAGTGACTGTTAGGTCCTTCTCAACACAGGATCATGTCCACAGGCTGACCTCCCAGGGTCAGGGTAATGACAGGTTTTCTAGGAGCTTTCACGTCCTCAAAGCTTTCACTCTCAAACGCAGACGATCATGTAGAATCACTTTACGATAAGGTTTAAAATAATTTGCTGTGAAAATATGATGTAGTAACACTTCGGCCCAGTAACATTTCGGCCAAACTCAAATTTCTTAGAAAAACAGTAACACTTCGTCCCACTCGCTTTTACAGATGATTAAATAAGCTAATGGAGTAACATTTCGGCCCGACGAAAAATTGACAAGGGTTGAGGAACGCAGTTCAGGTAGTAAGAGGTACATGACCTGTATACTTTGCAACCACCCTCTGGTGGAATGTCGCCCAACCGTCACCCCTTGCATCCTCTGACCTCACATGACGGAGAATCGGTGGAATCTTACCTAACCTAACCTAACCTGTCAAATATTTTGTTGGGACGAAGTGTTACTAGTGGGCAGGTAGAGAGTTGGACCGTAGGCTACATATGAGGGTTTCGGGCCGAAATGTTACTGGGCCGAAGTGTTACTTGGGCCGAAGTGTTACGACACGAGAAAGATAATATAGCTTAGTGGCTATTGATAAAAGGTTGTAACTATGAAAGTAAAATTCGTTTACTAATAAATTCAGTTTTTATTATTTTTTTTTTGTAAACGTATACTACAGTTGTGTACACATGTGAGTCTGTAAATAATAAATAGTATTTGCATATAATAAAAGATATAGACTCTTTAGTTTTCATCACGTAGTCGCTCGTTCTACAAAAATGAAGAACAAATATGAGTCATGAAAAGAATGATGAAAAAAATTATGAGAAAAAATGGCTCTACGTCATTTAGTTGTGGTTATGCTAGTAGGGCTAGGTGTAAGAAATAACACAACATGAAGTATTAATATTTGAAATATAATAGCATTGCTTGTACTAGTCCATCCTTCGGTTATTAGAAATATTTTTTTGTTGCCTAACTACTTTGGTTTATAAAGCTGCAATCACTTACCAATATTATTACGTGTTAAGGTGCTCAAACTACAGTATTATGTATCATTTACGTTAGCTGCCGCTTGACAAATATTGTACATTGCACAGAGAAAAGATAAAAATACTACATATAATAAGGGACGCTAAATAAATAAGAGTAGAGTAATAAAAATAAAATGAAGACAACAATAAGAGAAAGCAGAAATGGTTGTTTCAGTACCATCGATAATGAACATGTAATGTTGATATAACAAATAAATGCAACTGTGAGGAATAAGTAAAGAATTAGAGGTGTGAAAGTAAGACAAAAACATTGTTTGATAACAATGTGATCATCGTTAATACAATTGGATACAAGAAATAACGTAACGCCTGTGCAACAAGGGGTACCAAGTTGACAATGATTAAGGTGGCGTTAGTCTTAATTTCCAATATTATTGATTTCAAAATTCTACGCGTTGTACTTGGGCCTACATACTAAATATTGTTCCGTTTTACGCTTAAACAAGGTGGTAATGTTTAAAGGTCGATTGACAGTGCATTTCCCTGCGCGTGGAGTGAGATTGAATCTTAACAAAATTATCGTGATGAGCTCAAGACGGGGTTGTTCTAACAAACTCAATCACCCTTCGTTGAGTTTTCCACCATGTTACCCCCCCCCCCTCCCTGGAAAAATCTTCTAAGGGATCTCGGCAAAACTTGCGACTAAATAATCGTAGATATAGCGGGTCAGTGCTTAAATATTGCGTTGGATTTAACTTTAAATACAATTTTCCTTACAATTTGTAAATAAATGTAAACCCTGGGAGATTTTTCTTGTATCCTTATTAGTTAGAAATTTCTTTGTAAGTTTTGGCTTTTATTAAGGGGCCATAATTGAAATATTCAATATAAACGTGGAAATTAAATTCACATCTGTACAGTACAACAATAAAAATAAAATTATCAATTGGGGAAAATATACAATTGGATTTCAGTGGCAGGAGTATTACAACAGAGAGATATTCTCCTTTCTTGCCAGATCATATTGATTTTATTTTGTAGATAGATATGTCTACAGCTTCGAGTGGTTTAGAATCACTACATCATGGAGTAACAACATAGCTAAAAGTCGCGGTTGTCGGAATTCGAACCCGATCATTTGAGGTCGGAAGTCTGCGATATAGCTTGTAGACTTTTGACCAACCCCAGCCGTTTTCCAAGGTGATGATATAGAATATCAGCTGTTTACCCAGTCAGCTGTTAGATAATGGGGACCCATGTTTGGGGTCAGATTTATCATGCTGAAGAATAAAGATGTTTTTAAAGTTTGCAAACAATGTTTGTAAAAAATCAATAAAGATTTAGTACTGTGTTAGAAAAGTCCTATGATGAAGGTTTATGATAAATTCATGGAAAACAGAATAGCTGTAGCATGCCGACATAACACATGTTACACGCCTGTCATAGATGTAAAGCGGAGTAAACTACGTAGTAACAGGTGTTAATATGTGTAACTAGATCGGGAACATTTTACGGTTGTCAGCGAGAGCAGACAAGAACGACAATGATTCCACAATATCGCAGCTGTTTACTCCTTATTCATTTGTAAAATTGACAAGTAGTTATGGTTCGAGTTTGGGTTTTCTAACAGATAACTGGATTTGCAGAAAAACGAAAAAGGCAAATTGAAAATTATAGAAATTATCAAGTGTAAAAGAAAACAATAGCCAATGGATCAAACACACAACAATGGTTTATCAGACTCAGAGGGTTCAATATAATACGATGAACATTTTTTAAGGATATCCACCGATGAAAGCGTAAAAACACACCTTGTAATCATCACGTTCTATTACCTGAATAACTACGTTGAACTTTATAGTGTTCAATTCTAGTATTTTCGTGCTAATTTACTTGGAGTTTGAGGCCCGATTTTGGTTCGTGGGGCTGTTAATATCTCCAGATCTCGTAGTTGAAAAGTATGGTAGGTCCTACTTTGTTTTCAACATTTACAAAAAATTAAACCCTTTAGTTTCCCTTAAGTAGTAGTGACCAACACTTCTTTCATTTGTTAAATAGTAATTTAAAAGTTAATGTATATGATACTTAAAATAAACAAACTCTATTAAGGTATTGTATTTGCACGAAACCCCTTTGCAGTTAAATAAAATCTGAGTGACTATATAAACTAAAAATTTTCTTAGAACTTGTTAAATTTATTACCACCCAATTCTTTTCTAACAATAACATTAATCCATACACTATCTTGAATGACTTGAGTACATCAGTTTATTGATGATTGATTTAATCATGATTGTAAAAAATACAAAATCAATATTAAAGCTTACACATTTTGAAATAAAAAATACAAAACATACACCGTTCATTCCTACATTGAATTGTTCATATTAATATAATTCACAGACCATATAACCGGGGAAAGAAAAGTAGATATTTAGAAAAGTTTGACAATGGAGGGCCTAAGGGGAGCCAATTAAGGGAGTTCGAAACGATGAATGAAACAAGTTTGCATGGACGGAAATCAACCCGTCTGTAAACTTCTCTCCATTCCAACAATAGCAGCTCTTCTCTTCTCATTGTTCTGTAAACATAGTGTGAAGTTTTATAGTAAACAAGAAGTTAAACCCGAAAATAAAGCACAATACTTTAGAATGATTGTATGCAAAGCAAAAAATATAAACTTGTATTACACTACATGTAAAAGTCAAAAGTAGTGAAATTGAAATAAATACTTGTAAATATTTAAATAAGTAAATACTAGCTACAAGAAAATACGAGCCGCTATTTACACCCGTATATCGCAACGAGAAGATAACACGGAATAGATTAATGCTGTTATTTAGATCTGCGTTATAAAATAGTTACTTATTATTCATTCTAGAGTAAAACCCCAGCTTGGTAAAATAGAAATAACAAATTATAGTAAACTAAAAAAAAAACACAAACCAATTCCCATCCGCTTTATTCGCCTTTGATTGTCACAGATCTTAAATACATATCGTGATGTTGGCGGTTTATCTTAAAGTCATTTTGTGATGCAAGAATTCCACGCATTTAGGCGAGTTTAAGATTTGAGTGAAGTACATTACTAGGACCGAAAGTAGTATGTTCCGGCGTGCGCTCATTAGGAAAACTAAATTTCACGTGCGAGGTGAAGAGCATGTGATAGTTACTTTTACGTAGGAG